CACGCGCCCCAGCTGCAGGGAGCCCAGCCGGGGGCCCAGCCCCGCCACGTGGGCCGGCGCCGCGCACACCTGCTTCTCCGGAGTGCCCAGCCGGTGCCCGCGGTGCTCGCTCAGTCCCACGGCCGGCTGCGGAGAGAGAGAGGGGGGTCTCAGTGAGAGCTGCGGGGCCGGGGGTGCCGCGGGCCTCGGAAGGAAGGGCTCACCTGCATGGCAAAGTGCTGGTGCTGCTGGACCGGGTCTCCGGGATGGGGCTCGGGCACGCGCGGAGAGCCGTACAGTTTGGTGGGATCGGATCCACGCAAAGGGCCAAACGTTCCTGGCACCGCTGGTCTCTGAGGGATGGGGAGGGGTGCAGGGGGGAGAAATAAAACGATTTGTGAAGTGCATAAATGTGGCAGGAATGCTGCAGGTGTGGGGGAGCCAAGGCTGGAGTAACCACATGAATAAGCAGCCAGACTGTTCTGTACCGTGGAAAACCTCTCTTCGGAGGTAATACAGCCTTATCAAAGCCACTCACCCCAACCTCTCCAAGCTGCAATACACTCACTTGCCACCCAAATCCTGGGGAGCAAGCAAGAAGACTGGAGGAGGCAGTGCTTTGCTTCAAGAAGAAGAATGGACCACAAGATATGGAAGCAGGAAGACAACGGGGAATGTGCTGGATTTCCTTCAAAATACTCAATGCCTCCAGCTCTCCTACTGCCTCCCACTATCTGCAGCACATGAATCACTCTAAAAATTTTGTTAGATCTCTAGCTAAAAGGGGCAAGGGATAGCCTAAGATCTCAGGGGAACAGCAGATCCATCACACCACAAGCCATCACTGGTTAAAATGGAAATGGCAGTGAAGGATGGGTGAGGAACAGCCCAGAAGGGAGGCAGAACAGGTGGCATCCAGAGAAGAAATGTTGGGCTAAAGATAGGTCACTGCTGCAGTCCAGGGTGGCCTTTGTTTGATTTAGTTTACTGCTTTTATAAATACTCAAGGCACGAAATGCAGTCGTACACAGATGGCACAAAGTTACCAGGCATCTGTAAACTATTGAGACAGAAGAGGACCAGCTTGTTCAGCTTCATAAACTTGGGGGGTAAGGGAGGAAATGTTACAGCTTCCCATGCACTCTGGGGTTTCTCTCCAAGGAGAGAAGAAAACTGGGGGAATCAGTCTGTGGAAGCCTACACTGGGACATGACAGCCATGGGAAACATTAGGGGATCACCCCATCTAATGTCACAAAGACTTCAATTACACCAGTTTAAATCTAAGGGCTGTAAAGTTTCACTTGGAGGAACCATAGCTCTGACCCTTTCTCTCTGGGAAAAGGTTCCTGACATGCACTAAAGATTTCATGGTAGGAAGTTTCATTCCCCCTTACTTCCCTTCCCTCCTTCCCTCCCTCGTCCTGATGGGCAAAGGACAGCAGGAACAGCTCCTCACCATCTGTCCAGGGTGTGGCACAGGGCTGGGCATGCCTCCGTACTGCAGGGAGCGGGGGAAGCCTCGCCCGTTGGACGGGCCCCCTTCTCGAGCCGTCTGCGTTGGGTTGCCACTTGGGTCATCTACAGAGGACGAGGAGAAGGAGGAGGAAGAGGAAGAGGAGGAAGAAGCAGGAGCCCTGGAAGTAGCTCGATATGGTGGAGGTTTTCCTCCATTTTCCAGGCGTTGCTGTCTCTTGCCAGGCCCGTCTGGGTCTCGTGATCGAGTCCAGACGCTGCCTGTGCCGGAGCGGCCGGTCCGCCGGCTCCTCTTCTCTCGTCTCCCATCCTCTCTGATCCAAAACTCCTCATCAGTGTCTCCATCTTCCCCAGGGAAGTGCTTCATCATTGCTCGGTGGAAACACCTCTCCAAGTTGTAAGCCATCTTTGTATATTCTGCAAAAACCCCCAAGAACACCAGAGGGAAGCAATTATGCAACATCAGATAAATCATCTCCCCTCTGCCAAGTTTCTCCAAGGAAGACTTTTGTTTCTGACTCGTTGGCTTTGGTTCCTAAACTCCATAAGCAACACAGCATCAGTTCTGTTCAGTAACCCCACCAGAGGACAGGCACACAGGCATGACAAAGTACCACTGGCAGCAGGGCCTGCAGAGTCAGCATTAACTCAGTGCTCCAGCCTAGTGCCAAGAATTACATTAGGAGGAGCACCACCTCTGCTCGTAGAGATGTGTGACCTGCACAGTTAGCTAGCAAGAGTGCTGAGAGAAGAAATGTGAACTTCCAGCAATGCTATTTGATTACATTCAGAGACTTTTCTTGGACTCGTTCAGATCTCTGCTGTGGGCCACAAGACAGAGGAAAATCAGCAAACACATTTATCCCTGTAGTTTCCAAAGCACTTGCTGACCCTGACACGAAAGCTATTGCCAACACCAGCGTCCCCACTGCGTCATTTCCACTGGACAGTTCTGCTGAGATGAGCTTTTACTTTTTGTTGAGTGGATAGGAAGGAAAAGACATGTGAGAGGTGTTGATGACAAGGCCTTGAAGCAAGTGATTTTCCAGTTGTTTCCACTAAACTAACCCTGAAGTTCCTTGAGGAACAGAGCTCTCCCAGTGGCAGTGCAGGTATGCTTTTACTTGCAACCAACAGCAACAAGCTGACTTGTTCTTTATGTTGCTCTCCCTTTCTCACCAGGTGTTGCTGGTGAGACAGTCTGCAGTGATGACCCACCATATGGGAACTGATTTCTTATCTAAGCAACACATAGAATTTTAATTGGCATGGCAATTAAACCCAGGATTTCCCATTTGCACGCTCACGTTGTTCCTTCAATAGCCAAGGAACCTAAAAGCTACATTTTCCATCCAAAGGACGGGCACAGTTCACTCCCCACTTTCCTGTGGTACTCAATAAACACTGGGAGTTAACCAGACCCCAATGCTTTTCAAAGTGCACAGATAAACACATGAAGGAATGAGCTCAGAAAGAAACAAGACTCTCGTCTCTTTGTATTTTCTGCCTTCACCACCTACCAACACGGCAGTCCTTAGTATGCCATGCCCCAATTCAGCATGACCAAACTGTGCTAAAAGCCTCACTAAAACCCAGTGCGGGTCTCAGTAACTATTACCATCTCATCTGGTCTCCTAAAAACATCCTGAAAGAGAAGAAGCACAAATCAAGTACTGGTGAAGGGGAAGAAGGGCACTGCTTGCTTTGGCTGAGCACTGCAAATAGACAAATTTAGCATCTTACTGCTCTTACCACTGCCTTCACCGTTGTACTTAAGACAGTTCCTGAACATGGTCTTCATATCACCCACAAACTCATCCTTGGTGCAGTACTGACCTCCATTCAACTTCTTCTCCATGCTAGAGATATCCATGGGGGCCTGGAATACAACCACACTTCTCTTCAGTTACAGAAAGCATAGTGGGGCTTACAAAGTTAGAGCTCAGAGAGGGCATGGGCAGCAGAGGATGCTCTCCAGAGAGGCAGCCATCCATCTTTTTTTTGTTTTCTTGACTTGTAAGGCTAGAAGGGACTGCCAGAATCATGGAGGTTGACTGTGAGAGTAATACAACCCATCAAACTTGAAAAGACTTCCAAAAAACTGCATCCCAGTTAACAAAGTGCATCAGTCAAGATGCCTGGGCCACTTTCCATACCTTAATGATCTGGTAGTAGTTGGGAGCGTACGATTCATCAACGGGCTCCAAGAAGGGCCAGGAGTCCTTGTGAGCCTTCACCACATCTAGAACTGGCAGCAGCAAGAGAAAGGAGAATGGTTACACTCACACACACAGAGAAGTATTTCACTTTGAGAAGATGGGGTGGGACTAACCTTTGTACATGGCTGTGAACTCATCGTCCAGTTCAAAGCTGTAATGGGAAGCACCACAGTGAATATTCAGGCTGAGGATAGGTGAGACATGCTCTGTACTTCATCTTCTCTTCAACCCATGCAGTGCCACAATGCTGGCAAATAGGCCTCATCACAAACACTCCTCTCATATGGACCAAACCCAGATGTTTCTCAGCTCACTCCTCTCACTGTTCTCCAGCCTCACTTCTCCCTCTGCATTCCTGTGAATGATCACACTCCTCTCCTTGCCATACTTACTGCTTCAATACACCAGTGTGCTGCCATGCCCCTTTGTGTACTCACATATCCTTGGTCCTTCGCTCTTCCCTGGCAGGGGAACTGGGATCCAAGTGGGAAAGCTCAGGGGGAAGCTCCTTCCCCTGTGCCAGCAGCCAGGCCCGCTCTTCACGAAGTTTCCTCCTCCTGGCCCGTTCTGCAGTGGGAAGAGATGAAAAGCCATTCAGCACTCCTTGCCCACATCTTGCAGGGAAACAGAAGGTGCTCCTGCAGCTCTCAAGAACTCCAGTGAGCTGATCTTGCTCTTTCAGCAAAAGCAACGACAGCACAGGAGCAGGTGAGGCGAGAATACAGTGCACCACCAACAGGCCTCATCACCCTCACTTGGTTACAAACACCACTTCTGAAGCACTGCTGTTGCACAGGTGCTGCCTTAGGCAACTTCCAGAAGTGGTGTGGTACAAAGAGGGAAGTTCAACACCAGCCCTAGGCACAGCTGAGCACTATGGAAAGAACTGACTCGTTGTTACCTTCCTTTAGGGGCTTCACCTCAGGCAGGTGAACTTGAGGCAGCAGCCCTTGCACAGAATGGGATGAAGAGCAGTGCCAAAGGAAGTTCTACCAGCTGAGTGGCAATGAATAACTGGGGTCATTGTTATCCTCCATGGCTGGCTTTGGGAAGATTGCTCAGGTAGGTCTTCATGGCCAGCAGCCAGAGCGAACAAGTTGCCACACACGAGGGCCACTGGGACAGCTTTCGTTTAAAGAAGTGAGGCACAGGAAGAAGCAATGCTGGTAATATAACCTGTGGTTTGCAACCAGACAGCTGGCTAACAGATTGCTTCATAATAGAAAGTTTATGGGCTCTTATGAACCTCATTTCCTTTTTCTTATAGGAAATCTGAATTCATTTGACTTGCGAAACACCTGCGGTTGGACCCAACCTTCTGTAGGAGCAGAATTCTGTGAAAGTAATGTTCAGGGAGAGGTATCACAGGAACAGGCCACATCAGAGAACACCCAGAGTGAAAGAAAGATATGGGAGACTCAGCTAACACCCTCTAGCAGAGGCTCTGCCTTTGGAAAATGCCATCTACTCAAGAGGTACCAGCTCTGGTGGAAATATATTTATTAAAGTCCTACTCTGTCTGAATTTGGGATGGGGATTGATAGCACAAGAAAAGTAGGAATAGCTACAAGGTGAGTGTGTGTAGGGACATCCATTGGCAGATATGTCAAAAACTGGTAAAAGAAAGCTCAAATTTCCTTTTAGAAGGCTCAGGGTAGCACTGAAGTCAGGATTATAGGACTTGCATCTATGGTGTCCTACAGAATCTAAGAGAATTGCATGACCAGAAATGCAACACCCAATTTCAGATAACAGAGAATATCTGAGTCTGTCCAAGCACTGTTCAGATTTCATGTTTCTTTCATAAAATTAGCATCCTTTGATGGCATTGCAATGGATAAGTGAGAAAGCTGAGGTGAATATGAAGTGATTATCTGGGCAGCAAATGGAAAATCTCGTGACAACAGCAGCCAAGAGGTAAAGATTGTGCAGATTTTAGAAATCCACCAAGGATCTGACCTGGTAAACTGACAGGAATCAAGGAGTGCTATCCTGGTACCAGAAGGCCATATAAAATTAAATTTTATTCCAGACTGAAAATTAGAAGAAAATCTTTGTAACTAGAAAATTTCTGTTGTCGGATGTCCAGTTTTAACGAGTCTGAAGCAAGTAAAGCAAATGATATAATTTTCAAATAATTTTCTCTCCATCATAAGAACTGTCATGACAGCAAATGCTAGTGGTGGGTGTGCTTGGCACTAAGAAAAGATCATTAAGAAGCCAGTTTTACCTGGATAGCTGCTGGTTCCAGGGATAAAAAATACTGTAGTGATTTAACTGAACAAGTCAACATAACCTCTGCAAACAGCTTTTGCACCAGCTTAAAAGGAGACACCTCCTGTTTAAGCCTAAATGGACTAGGGAAGAGTTTAAACCAACTGAAATAAATGGCATAAAACAAAATTAAAGCATCTCTGCCAAAAAATGCATGAATGTGTGCTAACTTGGCTTAAAAGAGTCTACTGCTCAATCTCATGCCAGTTTCTTTGCATGGCTCTGGTGCCTTTGAATCTGATGATGTAATGATTGCATTTACCCAGAAAAGGAAGTGGCTTACACCAAAACAAAACCATTTTACAGGAACATTTCTCTTTGTAGCTCTGGTGCAACCTCAAGACTAATTTTGTATATAGAGATAAAGCATTAAACCACAGAGAATGTGCAATTTGCCAAGGGAAGCAGAGATCTGTGGCAGATACGGAATCTAGATGAGTCTCAATTTAAAGCACCTGATTAGCTAGGACTAGCAACCAGGAATACACCAAGGCCAGGGAAGTAATTGGTTTTTCTAAAGGTTAGAAAGGTAAACAGGTAAAAAGAAGCTATTCTTAGATAACATCTGGCCTCCCACCAAACATCTGGTAGCAAACTGTTTCATTCTGGAAAGTTTACAAGGTTTGAATGAACCTAATATTTTTTTTCCTTTTCTGATTTTTTTATCCACTTCAGGACTCATGATACTGACACCACCCCACATTGCCACAGTTTTCTGAGGATGTTCAGCCTTTCTGTAGAACTAAAACAGCCCAGCCAGTCACTGTGGCTAAAGCAGCAGCTAAAGGAATGCCCCATAAGGGAGGCAAACAGAGAGAAGGTGCTCAGAAATGAGCTTGCTCTGACATCCACACCTACATGTACTGCCTGACTGCCTTGGTCTGAAATTGTCACCTCTGGTGCTCTGTGTAGCCTGGTCCCTTCATCTTTAGTTCTCCAATTGATAAGGCCAGTAGCAATATAAAAATACTACTCTTCCTGCTCCCATGTTATCCCATTCCCTTTCTCCTCAAAGGGAATTCTTTCATCAAGCATTGGGCAAAAAGAACCAAATGTTATCCAGTGAGAGCAAAGCCAGCTAATCCTGCACACAGGGAAATCCTGAGGAGGCAAGTGGGGAGACAGAACCCAGAAACAACATAAATAGCAGGAGAAAAAAAATGGACAGCTGGGGCAAGGAAGAAAATCAGCACAATTTGAAAAAGACAACACAGTCCAAAGGTGCCCTAGAGAACAGCCACCAACACTGAGAGGACAGACAAAGGAAAATAAACTACAGTCAGACCACTTTATCAGATGTAAGTGCAAGAAAACATTCTCATTAGCAAGTCTGGCAGGGGAGGAATGCAAATGGCAGACTTGAACTCAAGATCTCAAGTCTTGACTTTGAAAGCTTCCACATGTTACCTTCCACTGCTTTGACCTTCTCCTCCATCTCCCTCTTCCTCTCCTCCTTCAGCAGCTGCTCCTGCTCCCTCTTCTGCACTGCTATAAGGATCTGGCGCTCCTCCTCTTCCTCTCTGCGCCTCTGCTTCTCCATTGAGCTCAGCACATTTGGGTTTACCTGCAACAGAATGATGCACCAAAAACTGTAAAGCCCTGGTTTGTTGAAAGCTGAGCAGTCAGGTTTGCTTTGAGGAAGTATTAAAGCACACCTACAATGAATGACTGGGAGGGAAAAAAAAAAAGAGGGGAAAAAAAAAGAGGATTCGTATGTATGATTTCCTAGATGAAAAGCAGCATGGAAAGGGAAGTTATTTGTGAAGCAATGAAATCCTACTGATACAAGGACAATGGAAGGAGAAGCGATGGGTTAGACAAGCTGCCATCCTGTCAGGGATGCACCGTGCGCATTTCTCTTCCCTTCTGGGAAAAGGATTCAGGCTGTTGACACCCTTACACAACACCTCTACCTCTTCCAGCTAGCAGAGCTCTGACTGCAAGTGTGAGAAGAAAGGACTACTTTGCCAAACCTGTCTTTGCTGCAAAACACAGAATACTTCAATAGGAAAAGCGTCTGGTACAGCCTTGTGTCAAGGTATCATTAGGAATGTTTTCCTTTCCTGTTCAGAATTTCTGTGTGCTAATCTCCCCTGAACTGGCTCTCATTTGTTTGCTTGGACAGTTTTCCTGCTGGGTCCCAAAACCAGTTCTCTCATTCAAGGACACCTGGCTCTTTATTGCCCCACGTTCTCACCTCCCCACTGCCAGCAGGCTGCAAGGCTGTGTTTGATCCTACTTAAGACTGCAGGCTTCCGAGATCAGGGACTGCCTGCTCCTATTTCTCTAATAAAGCATGAGCTATGTATGTGGAAGTGTGGAATTATCTTTATTACCTTAATTTAATTATGAGACAAATATATCAGTCAACCACCAGCCGACTCCTACCCCTGTGACCAAGATATCTGTGCCTTATCAGCAGGGAAAATCCACCAGAAAATAACAATGTACAGAGAGTTTGCTCCAACTTCATTTTCAGGGAATAACCAGCAACCACCACTTAGGCAGAAGGCATTTCCTGAGGATTAGCAATCAGCCGGGGTCCGTTGGCTGCTGCTCAGACCATCAACTTCTCCAGGCCCATTATTAATCCCCAGGAAAAAATAAATAAAAAAAAAAATATAAAAAGAATTCTGGCACCACGATTACTATTTTGTCCTTGTTTCACTGCCCAGAAATAGAACCTGGGGGTGTTTTGATGAAGGCCTAAAAACGTTGTCTGGTTTTGCTGTACATTCATTCCCTCTCTGCCTCCCCTTCCCCTCCACAACCCTGTGCTGCCCTATAAACTCCCACTCCAGTTCTCTGTAGATGAGCACCATGTATCACCTCCAGGAGAAACAATACATTAAGAGAATTATGCTTCAACCACCAACAGTCACAGAGAAGTGTCCAAGAGAGGGTCATGGGACTCTTGACAAAATTAGGATCGTATCCTGCATTTAGGGACAGATTGGGCAATAAAAACCACCTGTTCTGTGCTGATCCTTTAAGGTGAAACCCAGAGCTTCATCTCATCTCCAGGGAATCATTCTCTTCTCTTCCATTTTATATCTTTGACAAAATGTTATCACTTGTCTATCTCCTTCCTAGGGAAATCATACCATGAGTTCAGGTGTTGTAACATTAGCCAGCTTCTCCTCACAATCAGTTTAAAGTTTGTTTCTCAACCTCTCCTTCCATTTTTTCCCAATTATTCCTAGGTACATTCTTCTGAGTGAACATAAATTCTCCTTTTCTTCAGCCACATTCCAGCCTTTACCTTATGGACTTCCTCAGACACTTACACAACATTCCCACATTTCTACAGTTAGATTGAATGTTTTCTTAGAAAGCAATCCTTTCAGTTCCCTGGAATGATTATTCCAGTTGTCTCTCAGATCTTTCCTCCCTGATCCATATCCAAACACCAGGATGCCCAGGATTGTACTATGACAAGGACAACAGGTCAAGAACCTAGAGAACTGAGTTCTACATTCTCATGTTTGATTCTTTTTATATCCCTTTCTCAATAGCTTTGCCATCTGATTTGTTACTCATGAGCTGCAAACAACTTCCTTTTCAGACCTGATCCTGACCACTGTCAAACAGTTTTCCTCTGACTTTACTGATAAATCTTGAATTGCAGGAGGAACCAAAAGAGTCAGGTTCTGCAGTAAGAGAAAGAGGTGAGCAGGAGCCAGCCACCAAACTTGGCATGCCAAGATATTTTAACGAGGATGTGACCATCAGCCTTTATATTCTCAAACCAGTAAGCCAGCCTGGCATGTTACAATTTCTTTGATTGCTGGTACACAGGTGAGACCTTCCCTTTCCCTGGATTAATCCAAATTCATGTCCTGTGGAAACAGGAACACAACATCCAAGCCTGCAGGGCACACTCAGCACCCTATGCTTTAACAGGGTGGCACAGGATCCACAGCTCGCTCCAGATCAACCCACCACAAACATGGCATCAACAAAGCACTTTTAAACAAAGGAGAGGGTGTCATGCTACCAGATCTAGAAAACAAAGGAAGGGGAAAAGCAGGAACCACAAACCCAGTGTAGTGAGGACTGCAGTAGACACCCACAATTGCACTTATTCCCTGTAGCACTTGCAGGGCAGCAACAGTGCTGCACTGGGCTCCTTGAGACACTTCAGCCACAGAAAGAACCTGATTTTCAGAGGGACCCTCAGTCTGGCATCCCACCTGAGTCCATTGGGGATGAATGTCCTCCATTCAGGGTTAAAAAATATACACAAACATGAACCAGTAAACTCCTACTGGATTAGTGGGAGCAGATGCCTATTGGAATGACAAAAGCAAGAACCAAACACAAATGAAACCTCTTTCCTGATCAGAGGTGGCAAAAGGATGCTTCTCCAGCTTCCTCCCCACTGGGGGATAAAAACCACTGCGACCAAAGCATCACCGCCTCCTTCCCTCCGGCAGAGAGCACTCCAGGACACAACATCACTGCTGTCCCCCTGGCCCTGGGACTCTGAAAGGGCCAAACTTCTGCCTTTTAGCTTTGCTCTCCAGACTGTGGGTATCAGACTTCAGGGCCAGAAGGCGTGGGGTGCCCCGAATGCCCTGGCCCCTCATCCACCAAACCTTCCCGCTCAGGTTTCCTGCGCTCTCCTAATGAGGGTGCTGCTCAGGCTGCCCTTAATGAGGAGCTAATCTGAACCACCTGTTGAGAAATCCCCCGCAGGATCAGGAGCCCATGGAGCAGTTCCATCTCCAACTCAAGCGGCAGCCAGGAGAAAGGGGTCACCTGCACCGGGCTGAGATTTTCTCCTCCAGGCTCGCCGGCTGCCCACCCTGGCTTGAGGAACAAACCATCAGACATGCTGGCGCCTCCCCTGGCTGCCCCATGGCAGGGATGGCTGCTCCATCCTGCTGGGGAGCATCACCCCTGTGGTGCTGCTGGCTCCCTGTGTCCCGGTGCAGCGGGTGCCAGGAGGGCCCCCTGCTCGCTGGAAAGGTTTCACTGGCCCACAGGCGGCAATTAACAGCCCTCTGCCACCGCAGACCTGGAGCACCTGCGGTACTGATTAGCATCATTCAGGCTCCATGTGTTTCCCACTCCCCTCCTCCTCCTCTGGGATTTCTGCTGCCTGTGAACAAACACGTGTCCCTGTGCTTCCTGCACGGTGGGCTTTGCAGACAGATTCTGGCCCCAAACTGGCCATCGCTGGGGTCTCGTTTTCCTTTCGGCAGCCTTTTATCTGCAGCACGATGAGAGGTTCTTCCTTCCTTCTATTTATCTGTTCTAAGTAATTACATTTATTGCAGGGGGAACTGTACTTTCTCCTTTGTTTTGGGGGAACCCCCGACTCTGGCTCACACAGCATATTCCCTGCAGCCTAATTTCCCATGGTTTGACAAAACAACAGGTAACTTCGTTTCCATTACATCTACAGAGAGAGATTATGTGCCAACCTGATAGAATAGAGCTGATTTTTTCCTCTGAGGCTAATCCCACGTTGCCTGACCGATTGCTTTGGGTAGCAGTTGCCAGTTCAAAGACCCCCCCATCTCCAGGGCCCCGTGTCCCCGCCCGTGCCGGCGTGACTCTTAGGGGCCGTGTGGTGAACTGGATCGGAAAACTGATCTACGTTAAAAATAACCCCGACCAAAGAAAAAGGTTATATTTAACTCCAGTCATTTTCCTGGGTCTGGTTCACTGCACAGACCCTCGAGCAGCAGCAGAGCTGTAGCACCGATGGGGTGATGGGGAGATGAGGGTGAGGAGGCACGGAAAGAGCCGTTCGAGCCCACAAGGCTGCAGTTTGATAAGCATTTCTTTAAGCAGCCTAAACTGTGACTTCCATTCCCAGCTGACCCCCTCCTAGCCCAGCTCCATACTGCATCAGTCATTCTCTCCCTCGGCGCTATCTACACCCTCATGTGTTTGCAGCCTCACGTTTTCCCCTTGGCTGAATTTCTGTCATTTCCCTTTGTAAGCCGGTTCTTCTAGCCCTCTCATCCTTCTTCAACTTTTCTTTGAACTGCCTCGAATGTGCCAGCACTTTCATTGAAGTGGAATTCCCCAGACTGAGCGCAGATTTCCATATGCAGCTGCAGCGGGGTCTGCGGCGAGGCCGGTTACCTCTGCGATCCAGAGGGCAGCACCTCCCTGCTCGCCATAGAAACCCCGGGTGTCAGCCTGCCTTTGACAGGCATTACCACCCATCTCTCTTTCAGCACAGGCACTTTTAAGCGACTCCTTCCCACTGAATAGCGATGCTGCGGTTTATTTCTTCCCCCAGGAGGCATCTGCTCTCGCCTCCCTCCGTCGTCCTCCCCCTCGCACCCCCCCTCACCTCCTGCTTGATTGGTTTGATGGGCTGATGGTCAGACATCCACCTGGGAGAAAACTCTGTCCGCTGCAGACGCTTCTCCTGAAACAGGGTTGAGAATTGAGGGAAGGAAAAAGAGAGTGGAGGAAATTAGGGCACATTGGTGACACTGGCAGGAGAAACTGAGGGCTAGAAGTGACCATGAAATCCCTATTAGCTTTACAAGGGTAGCAAACAAGCAAACTGAACTCAGTCCAAGAACATCACGCTGACTGCAGAGCCTGTTTCACAAAGCCATTGAGCCGAAGGATCCCTTTCCAGATCTGTCCCACCTGAGAACATTCAGCTGATGGACAACACCCTTCAGAGTTTTGGGGCTCTGACGTACCAGCTCAAAGCAGACTTAGCCAGGACAGCTAAGCAGCCAGTGCCCCCTCAGCAGAGAAACCAGCAGTAAAAGTGGAATCACGGGCAGCTTGCATAGAAAATCCAGGCTGTAAATCGCAGCAGTTCAAAAGCACAGAGATCCCCTGCTAGCAGGAAAGGGCCAGAGAACACGGCTGAAGACAGGAACCCCTTCAGCCATCCTACCTACGCTGCCGTGCAATCGCCAACCAGATCCTCCAGCACCGACTCCAGCACTGCCACAGCGTGGGGGAGAGTCTTCCCCCCATCCACAAGCTCAACAGCCCCCACATCCTCGCAGGCTGTAGGTGCAGGGAGCAGAACGGGGTGACAGGCTGCTTTTGGATTGAGCTCTCCTTCACTCAGCAAGCATCCATGCTCCTGGAAGCGGTCAGAGAGAGGTAAACAGGATGTCGTGTCTCCTCACCTTCTGTGCAATCATGTTGCAGATCTCCGGCAGGAAGTCTTCACTCAAGAGTTTGTAGAGCTGCCTCTCTCTAAGGGAAGTCCTCTCTCTGAAGCTCTCTGTGACCTGCCTCCACTCCTCTTCCGTCTGGCACAGCAACCACCATGTCCCACGGCCAGGCCCTTGGGACCCTTCAAAAACATGAGAGGATGTTATCTCCACAGCAGTTATGACTAACAGCTCCTCTTGATCCCTTCTCCTCTCTCCTCAGGGCTCAGGAAGAGCAAAAGACACTGGCAATGGCCACTGCTACGGAAAACATTCCATTTGCTATAGACCCAAAGCTCTCTTTGTGCACCAGAACCTCTGAGAGTGAAGTACACAGGTGAAAAAATAAGGGTGGCACATGGCAACACACAGCTAGTGTGACATCCCTGTAGCAAGCCCACATTCCACTTATTGCAGACTGGAGAAAAGAATTTAATTTGGTTTTTTGTAATGGCTGCTCTCAGCCAGAGCAGGACGTAGGGAACTGCAAATGTTCTGATTTAATCTGGCAGTAGAATAAAGCCATCAAAAAATAAGATAATTTGAAATAAGAGGCTTTTTTGTTTTTTTTTCTTGTGTTTTTTTTTTTTTTTTAAAATCACTGCAAACCATTTCTGCAGTGAAAAAAAATCCTCCTGCTCCCTGCAAATGAAACATTTTGTTTGCAGGCACTTGAAAGAGTAGAAGAGGAAGCGAAGGACAGGGTTCATCAGGCTGCCAGATGAGGGGGAAGTTCCAAAAGTTCACATCCCATCCTTGCTCGATCCAGAGTGGGATTGAAGCAGATCACCCACTGCTCTGAAGCATGTCCCAACCACTAAGACACTTTGAGAGCTGTTCCACCTTGTGTGAAACATTTGAATATTAATTGTGAAGGAAGGGCTCTCTTGCATTGTGGTTGGAACACCCACCTGGAGATGGGGAATGTGGTTCCTGCTCCACAAATGTTTACACAGAGCAGGGAAGCCTCATGGGTTGCAACTTGTATGCTTTTTCCTCAGGATGCTCTCTAAGCAGAAAAAGGCTGTGGTCTTTTTGGGGTTTTTTTTGGAGTGGGGAAAGTCTTGGATCAAACCCCTTAAGGCTGAGGGATTCTCAGCTCCTTCTAGACTTTTCTAGGGCTAATCACTAGCTCCCAGAAAGCAAGCAATGGTCATCAGAACCACTGGCAGATGTCATACACCTACACATACACTTCTCACCACATTTTCAAGCAAACTAACAAATGAAATATACAAAGAAGTAAACCTGAACCTGACTGGGCCCTTTGTGGAGCTGAGCTGCGAGAGGCTCCAACATGCAAGCTGTCAGGTTGTCCCAGGAAGACTGGAAAGCTGCAGGCTCCCTCCAGCCCCTGCCCTCTGTCAGGTGTGCAGTGGCGCAATTTCAGCTCTGTGAATGCACTGGGGACTGGTAAGTGAGACAGCAAAAGTCCAGCCATGTGCTGGTTCTGCTGCTCCAGCTACGCAAAGCCATCCCTTGCCCACCTGCAGCAGGGAGAGCTTACCTGCATCCCCAAACCCTACATCCTTGGTTCTCATTCCCTTGCCAGCTGCTTACAGACGACTCATTTCAATAGCAAACAGGACTAAGGCACTGCTTTGTGCCAGCAGATTACTCTGCAGCTGAAGTGACACAATTTGCTGGAAGACAATGATCTGATAAAACCCCCGGCGCTTCACGCGCATCGCTCCAGCTCTGCCGCCAGGCTCCGGAGCAGCCGGAGTAGCCGCCAGGAAATCTGAAGACAAAGGGCAAAGGGAAGGAGGCATGGGAAAGACAATGCCACCCTTGCCTTTTATTGTGAGGCAACAGGCAGGCTGAGTCCCTGGGTTTTGTGGAAGCCAGTGGATACACATGTATGACAAATGAGTCCCAGCTCCCTTGAACTCGCTTTCACATCATCTTGCTAACTCGCTTTTTGCCTCGTTAACCCTTAGCTGGGTACCCCCAAGATATCGTTTGCCACTCTCAGCCACCCAATGGCCACCAGGAAGGAAAAGTGAGAGGATCAGAAAGGTTCTTCCTTCCCTATCTTTGCATCACTGACTCCACTCTCTTCCCCATCTGAAAAAACACACCTGCTAACAAGAGGGCTGTTTTTACCTCACCCCTGGAAGACTGAGGACCTTTCACAGCCTGCTTTTTTCAGGTGAGCTCTTGAATTCTAGTGAATTTTCTTCATCCCAAACTCAGCCATGATAAAATAGGAAGCCTGCAGGTGCCCAGGCCCCCAGCTGCCAGGCTGTCTGTAACACAAACCCCTCCTTCCAAGCTTGGCCCCAACCACCAGCAGAAAGACTCTCCTGAGAAAGGCTGGGTTGTCTCTCAGGCATCTCTCTGGGTTTTGATAATTTAAGAGCCTTATTAGCTGGTGGTATCAACCCTGATACTGCAAAATCTCTTTACCATTTCTTATCTGAGTCTCGTGGATAAGCAAGTTTTCTTCTGCCTTCTCCCTACCAAAAAAGAGAAGGAGTGATACAATAAGTATATTACTTCACATCACCGAAATGCAGCTGTTTCTGAAGAGAAGAATAAGGAACACAACAATTATTCACTGCAGAGCAAAACCATGAAAAAAACACTGCAGAGCACACGTTTGATATCTATTTTCAAATATATATTTATCATAGCTCCATAAAGTTTTTGTAAGTGAAGGGTGCAGGATGAAGTTTGGCAAGTACAGTATCTCAGTTCTTATGGGAAGCATCCCAAAATCTATACCGACTCAAGTGGCCAGGATTTCTGGCTTCAAGCCACTCAATGAAAGTATTCTTTATCAGGAGCAAATTCCCTAGCACTGATGGTGGAACTGAATGGTGGAACTGCATTTGAAGTCAGGTGGTTAGAAGAGCGATGCCCACTGTTTCACCAAACTTCCAGCTCAGTCAGAATTTGCTTTGGAGAGTGATCAAAGCATCCACCAAGTCTGAGCTTGCTTCACTTCTGAGTTACATTGAAATTATGGCTGCATGGTATATACATATTTATTGGGGGAACCCCAGAAATACACTGTACTTCCCTCTGGGAATGTATGTATTTTACCTCTGTTGTAGGAAGAACCCTTCCATACCTCAGCAAATTTTCCTCCAGTAGTTTTTTCCGCTTCGGAGGTCGCCCTCTTCTCTTGCCTGTTTTCCCAGGAACGTTCGGGGTGTTCGTCTGCCCCCCACATCCCCTGAAAACGGCAAAACCACCATGAAATATCCACCGAGCAAGGGAACCGAGGCTGGCAGGATGGGAGAAGGGCACGGAAATCACAACAGCTGCTGGGAGCCCAAGCAAAGGAGGGATTAAATCCCAGCAGCAACAGGACGGGGAGGGGAGAGGAGGGATTCCCGCTGGCTGGGAGCCTGATCTGGGAGCCGCCGGCACGGCACGGCACGGCGAGCGGGGCAGACAGGCGGGAATGCGCTGGGGCAGGCGGCATCGCTGCCACAGCAGGCTCTGCCGGTGCCACAAAGGCTGCGGGTGACACAATGCGCAGCTCCCAGCCTGCTTGGCAACTCCGTCCCGCCCGCGCTGCCCCTCTCCAGGCCCCGCTCCCCCCGGCACAACAGCAGTCAGGCGGAGCCCCCGAGCCCCTGCACCCAGACACGGGAGGGGGGTGCTGAGTGCTGTTACCTGTCTGGAGCCAGCTCTCCGTTGGGTTTGCCCTGCACCGGGTCCTCCTTGTACATCCGCGTGCCGTAGAAGTACCAGTACAGGGCGCCGCTGCTGTCCTCGCCCAGCGGCTCCACGCGGAGGCTGTCGGCGTCCAAGCCCTGCGCCCACCGGGAGCCCCCCGCCAGACGGTGACAAGTTGAAAAGCGGCCACATTGTCACACAAAACATGATGACACCCCTCCGTAGTAAACACCTCCCTCCCTCCTTCCTTCCCACCACGCCACAGCAGCAGTACAGCTGCTCCTCCAGGCCGAGCTGGGAAAATGTTACTCCAGGGGGAAGGCGAGGTTCGCTCTCTGGCCGGGGAGGGATTTAGATTGGCATCTCTAATTTGAATGGCCTCTCTCGTTTTAACATTTCATCTCTGGTGCTCCTGACAGGGAAGGTCTAATTAGTGTTGGCGACAGTCACGCACAGCCCTGAGAAGCTCCCTCCCCCCCC